TCCCAAATTAAAAAAAAAAAACTACGGGCTTGAGTTTGAAGGCGAGTACGGGTGTGGAGGTAGGTTCATCCGTAAACCAAGCATCTCCTGTCTGAAAGTTTCAAAACTGCGTCTGGTCGCCTCTCGTTCGTCTTCCATTTGCTTCTCCAAAGCTGCAATCCCCTCATCTCTTTCTTTTAGAGATTCCTCGAGGGCGGCGTGGTCGATGCCACAAGATCGAGCAGATGAAGAAGATGATCGCTGACTTCCCGTTAGCTTTCCTAATCCATAGATGCGACCCTTTCTTGTGGGTGCTTCCTATAAGTTTTTATGGAAAAGGATTAGTAAATTTTAATAATAAACATAAAAAAATCAAATTTAACTTAANTTTTTTTAAATTACCTCTCTAACGATATTGTTGATAACCTCTATGGATACGTTTTCTGGAGTCGAACTTTGGCTTTCTGCAAACTCCACAATCCTCCTCCTCGAAGACTCAACAATTTCTCTTGCAATGGGATCGTCTATTTGTTTTGTTTTTTTTGTTGGTGTGCATATACTCCATCATATATAAATTTGAAGGATACACAACATTTTTCTCGTACTATTATTAATTTAAAAACATGATTAGTTAGAAAATTATTAAAAATAAAAAATAAATTAAAAAAAAGTTGAAACACTTACATATTTTTGTTCACGGGTCTTGAAGCTCACTGATCCTGAATTATGTTTAGCAATTCCTTTTCCACCTCTATCGCTTAACCNATTCTTAGAATTTGTCGTTGATATTGCACTTGTTTCCGGTTTCGCCCAATGAAGCTGCAACCCTTTAAACACATCTTCGTTCACATTTCTTGGTTTTTTTCCCTCTTGCCACTTTTGCTTCCACTCGGTCATTTGCATACTATAATATCTCGGAATGTCCTTGTCAAACGCCATACGAACCTCATGCGTTATATTCCTATCCCAGGTAAATTCTTGCTACAAAAAATAAAATAAATAATTGTTAGTATTTAAAATTAAATAAAATTCGTAAATCATTATTTAAAATTTACTTACAGCAAATTGTCTAAACCAAATATCTTTCTCTGTTTTTGGTATGAGATTGAATTGTGGATAGGGTTCTTTCAAGAGTCCTTGCATCATTCGCAGATAGCACTTTGAAATGCNATTGTGCGAATATNCAAACCTAAAAACATGAAACATGAAACAAAAATGTTAANAACTATGAGATTTCATTAATTTGAAAACAAATATTAAAAAATTTAAAATTGACTTACCNTGTAGATTTGTTTACTCGTCGCTCAGGGTCCAGAACTGTTAGTCGGTCTCGTCCCGGCTGCGACACGAAATCATGGATACTCATCTCCATCGGTGGAAAAGGAGTATTGCTCTGAGTAGCGGATTGCGATCCACTAGCTCTATCCGCTGGTTCTTGGGTCGAGCGGNCCAATTGACTCGTCATATAATTTCCGTAATCCCTTTAATAAATTAAAAAATGTTAAATAAACATTATTGAAAAAAATTCATACAAATAAAGCCATTTAGTCCTTTAAAAAAAGATAATTCTAAAATCAAAATAGTTTTAATAATTGTTAAATTAGTAACAAAATATATAATTCATAAAAAAGCACCA